GGGGCGGGGGCGGCCGGGGGCGGTCGCAGGTTGCACAACCCGCCCGGAGCGGCCAGGAGATTCCTGAGCGGCGAAGTCAGAGCGGCCCGGCCTGCCCCGGCACCGGGCACCGGGCCTCCAGCAGCCGGCGGCGACCGGTGCTGGCCGGGCAGGGCTCCTCGTGGGGGGCACCGGGGACTCACGGCCCTGGAGGCGGAGAGAGGGGGCTGGAAGGGCTGTGGTGACCACAGAGCCGGAGGGGAGGGAGGTACCTCATCCCATGGGGACACCGGGGATGGAGGGTCAGGCCCAAAAGGGTGAGGGTGGCAGTGGCAAGAGGGACAGGAAGAGTCCCTGAGAAAGAACTTTCAGTCCTGGGATGCTGCAGCACAGGGCTCTTGCAGGTGTCCCACCTAGACTGAGTTAGGGTCACGCAGGGTCCCCTGGTCACACTCTCCCTCTCCAAAGCAGCCCCATTTGGATCCCTCAGCCATCCATGGGGTCATGCTGCTCACCTGGCAGCTCTGCCCTCACGCAGACAGGCATGGCCACCACCCGGTCCCCAGGGGCCAGGAGGGTCACAGTGGGACACGGGAGCTGCAGGCAGGGGAGGATCAGAGGTAGCAGGTCCCTGCTGTGCCCTGCTGTGTCTCTTGCTTGTTCCCTTTGACTCCTGCTTTTCCCCTCACTGCCATTGGTGAGGGGACAAGCACCTCACACCCCCAGGACAGGGATTTTCGGGCAGTTCCACCAGTACTCAGGTAAAACCACAGCTACATCCAGCACATCCATGCTGCAAAGTTGCCACTGCTACAAACCCCACCCTCCATCCTCTGGGAAACACCTCCTTGTTTACACCCCATCAACAGCATCACAGTGAGGTCCAGGCCATGGTGACATCAGTGTCCCTTCCAGGGTACCCCTGGGTGAGGGGACATGTCCCGTGGGCAGTGCTGTGGCCCCTTGGACCCCACTCTCCAACCCGGGAAAGTTCCAGCTGCATTGTTGTTTTGAAGGCCAAGTCTTTCCCGCTGACACCCTGGAATCAGTTTTTCTTCCAGAGTCTTTAAAAATATCCTGGATTCCTGACACCAGGACTTGTCTTCCAACGGCGCTTCCAAGCCGCTGGGCCCGGGGCCAGCCGCCAGCGCCAGGGGACAGAGGCTGTCCAGCTCCCGTGCTCCTCCTCAGCACAGAGATCGCCGGGAAGGAATGTGGTGCCAAGGAGGATCATAGCCCCTGCCACGGCCTCTTCCATGCTGGATTGGTGCTCAGCAGGGCACAGGCATGGCACAAAGACTGCCTGACCTCAGCAACGCACCCAGCGGCTTCAGAGTGTGTCCCTGTGCACGGCCAGGAGGGTGGGAAGGGTCTTCCTGGCACCTCCAAGCCATGACCCTACAGAGCCCAGCAGCTGAGGACAGGGGTGGACACTGCCTCAGCGAAGGTCCCAAGGGACTCTCCCGGATGGGATTTCCCTGTGCATCCCTGGGAAAGCACGTGGCCCCAGAAAACTTCTTAGACAAACCTGCCACCCGCTCCTGGCTTTGCCAAGTGGCATCCTGGAACCGTAGGAATTTAGGGTGGGCCTGGGGGGGCTGAGCCAGCAAAGCTGGGGGGGCTGCAGGAAGAGGTGCTGCTGTTGCCCCCCCAAAGGCCAGGCAGGTGCCCACCAGCCCCACATGCTGTTGCTGCCATCTGACAGCACTTGGCGAAACGGCCTTTTGTGATTCAGCCGTGTTTATCCCAGCCTGCAGCCCGGCCCAGCGTGGGTTTCCATGGAAAACTTCCATCCAAAACAAGGAGAGAGAAGGAGCTACAGCAGGAGTGACTCAGCCACAACTGGAAGCTTCTGCGAGTGAAGCAGGGAAGGGGGGGCTGTTCCCTACAGCTTGGTCCTGCTCCAGCAGCGGGGCCCCGGCATGGTCCCGGCTGTCCCCTGCCCGTGCCACTGCCACTTCACAGGCAGGACCTTGGCAGGTTTGGGGAAGCCTCGCTGTAAAACCATCTGGGAAACACATCATCCTCCGGGAGAGCCCCCTCCCCATGCCTCTGGCAGGTCCTGCCAGCAGGGACTGAGGAGGAAGAGCGTGAGATGAGTAAGGCTCAAACCCTGGCACGATCCGCACCTGAGGTCACTTTTTCCAGCGCTGCCCACAGCAACCCCACCCATGCCTAGTGTGCCCAAGTGGGTGGCTGGCAGGGTGGGCAGTGGCAGTGAACTCGAGGTGGCAGTGGCACAGAGGGAAGGGGTGAGGAGAGCTGGGGAGAAGTGGGAAAACAGCCAGGAGTTTGCAGGGAAGCAGCAGCACCAGCAGCACCGGCTGTGTCTCTGCTCCTGCCGGGCTCCTCCTGTCCTCCCCGGGACACTGGGACAGGGCTGGGGGCTCTGCTCACCCAGGGAAGGGGCAGCAAAGCTCTGCCTGGCCGAGCCCTGGACTCCATGCCCACGGCAGGCTCCTCACAAGCAGGGCCCCAGCCAGGGTCCTTCCTGTCCCTGAGGTCACACAGGTGGCTCCAGTGGCTGCACTGGGGTATGGAAAGGCACATCTGGGGACAGGGATGACAACACCCAGGCTTCTGCTGCTGCTGCTGACACTGGTGATTGTCCCCAGGCCCTCTTGTCTCAGGCAAGTGGCACAGCTGCCACCCAGATCCCGGGCTCACTCCATCACCCCTCTGCTCAACCACAGCAACTGGCCCACACTGTTTTGGGGGAAAAAACAACTCCCCTGGGTCACACTGAGTGATGGAAAAGGGAACTCCCCAGCACAAAGCTGAGTGAGGGGTGGGAGGACTCAGCCAGTCTTGTCTCCAGGCTCACCTCTGCAGGCAGCCAAGTTCTGTGGCTGCATCCCAAGAACAGACCTGGATCTGCGAGAGGCAGGGGCCAGCCCGAGGGCATCTCGCCAGGAAAGGAGGGAGAGGGCAGGATTCCCATGGCAAACCCCTCCGAGCCGCTTCCCTCCTCCCACCACACCGGGACCAAGCAGGACCTCCCTCCGCTGCTCGCACAGGCACCTCCTGCGAACAAAGGTCGCGTTTATCTGTTTTTATTAATTTATTTAAACCGCTACAGCAGACACCCGACAGGAGCCATCTTTATGCAGACCCCAGGAAAGGGGCAGGAACGGCAGCTCGGGTCACCCATCCCTCCCCGAGCCACCCAGGGAGCTGCCTGCAGAGCCGGGACCGTGCTGCTCACTCACCGCACCCGGGGCTTCTTCCCCTTCCTTCCCCGTGCCCGGGAGCTGCCGGTGCCTCCGTGTGCCCGGGAGCTGCGGGGCCGCAGTGCGGGCGGGCGGCCATGGCTGCGGTGCCTCCCCCGCACCGGGAAAGCACCGGGAGCTCGGCCACAACCGAACACCCCCCGGGGCTGCGAGCGCCGCCGCTGCCGTCCCTGCCCGGCGGCGGGGGCACGGCGGGGACAAAAGCTGCGCTGCGTTGTCACACTCGTCGCTGTGCTCGGCCACAGCTGCAGCCCCAAAAAACCCAGCCCGTGGTGTCACCAAGGGCTGCAGGGACCCCGCGCCCCCGCAGCAGCTGTGACACAGCCCACGTGAAGTGGCACAGACGGCCAGCAGTGCCCGAGCCCCCCCAGCCCCGCAGGGAAACAGCAGAGCGGGTTTGGGCTGCGGGGAAACAGCCACATCCTCCTGCCAGCAGCAGCACCGCGCCGCAAACCGGGGCAAAGCCGCGATGGGCGGAGAGCTGCTCACTCCTGCGGCGCTGCTTTAACCCCTGGCACCGCCAGGCACGCTCCCAGCTCAGAGCACAGGGAGGGTTTCTGCAGCACAGCGTCCTGCGGCCTTGCAGAGCTGACATTGCACTGCCCTGCTGCTCAAGCAGGGGGGAAATTCACTTTTTTCATCCCATTTCCCTCTTTCACCAGCTCTACACCCCCAAGGAAAGCCATGGTTAGAGAAGTTCTGCTAGCACTCCTCTCCTGAGACTGGTGCCCAGTGCTGAGCTGGGCAGAAGCTGAGCAGGACACCTGCAACTGTTACAGCAATAAAGATTTTCCTGTGCTTCTGGATAATACAGAGCCACAAACAAGCTTTTCTTGTTCATGGAGGCACTTTGTACAAGGAAGATTCAACACACGCACACCGAGCCAGCAGGCATTTCATTCCTGAAACAAACACCAGCCCTGGCACTGCCAAGGATGACACGGTTTTGCAGGCCCAGACCAGCTGGAAGCTTGGCTTAACAGGTATTAAAAACCACGAGGTTTTGGGGTGTAAAACTGCAAGAGCCCTGTGCTCTGCAGACACTTCCTGTGGCTGAGCTGAGGAACTCTCTTTTTGAGCAGGTGTTTGAGTCTCGGAAAGCACCTTTCCCACAGAGCAGTGTCACCCTCCTGCCCTCAACCCCGTCACTGTCACACCCCCACACCCATGTGTTACATGTCATATACATTATATATAACTTTATATGCATATATATATATACATATATATTTTACACTGATGTATGCAACAAAGTTGAAAAAAAGGGAGATAAAGAACCATTTAGCCTGGCCTGGATGAACACTGAAGAGCAGAACGTGCAGTGAGCTGTTCTCTGGTCCCGCTGGAGGCACGGAAACAGTGATGTTTCACAGGATGGGTGGCTGCACGTGGCTCACCAGAGCCCTTTTTTATTACAGAGCCCGTTCTCAAACCTGCCCAGCCTCTAGGCGCTCGGCCTGGCCCTGCCTGGGGCAGAAGCGTTCCAGGAATTCCAGGTAGGCTTTCTTCTGCGCCGCAGCCGCGGGGATGAAGTGCCCGCCGGGGTGCGTGAGCACAACGGGCTCCACGAAGCACTGCGCCAGCTCCCTGCTCAGGGCCGCTGCGATCACGCCGTCCGTGTCGCCCACGACGTGCAGCGTGGGCAGGGCGATGGGCTCCCGGTAGAAGTGTCCGTGCGCCGGGGCGCGGCTGGCGAACGCGGCCACCAGCACGGCGAAGGCCACCGGGAAGCGCGGGTCGCCGCGGGCCCGCAGCGCGCACACCATGGCGGCCAGCGCCGCGCCCTGGCTGAAGCCCAGCAGCCCGTCGAAGGGCCCGTGCTCCGCCAGCGCCGCCGCCACGGCCGACAGAGACTCCTCCAGCCCCGCCGGAGCCGCGGCCGCTTCGCCCGCCTCGAACGTGCCGGGCCCGGAGAACCACCAGCCGCGGGGGGGGTCATCCCCGTCGGGGTCGTCCTCAGCGCCGGCGGGCAAGCGGTGCGGCGCGTCGATGGCCACCAGCTCGGCGCGGCCGCGCAGGGCCTTGCGGAGCGCGCCGGTGCGCTGGCGGAAGCGGCGGGCGCTCTGCCGGTACCCGTGCAGCGCCAGCAGCCGCAGCGGCCGCGCCTCCGCCATGGCCGCGCCCCGGCGGCGCCACTTCCGCCTTCCCGCCGAAACGCGGCGCGCTGATTGGCCGGAGAGAGGAGAGCGAGCGGAGCGCCTTCGCGGAGTGACGCGCGCTCCCTGGCGGCGGGAGGTCGCGGGGGGTGAGGGCCGGGCGGCCCCGGCGGGGCGGGCGGGACGCGACCCCCGGTGCCACCGCGGGCAGGGCCGCAGCACGGCCCGGCCTTGCAAGGGGCAACTCGCCGCCGACAGCCGGGATCGGTCCTTGCGGGCAGTGGTGCTGTGGAGTTACGGGGTGATACCCCATCCATTGCGCTCCGGGGGTGCCGGTGGCTCTCACATCGGCGGTGCCCCCGCGTCTGCCCTTGCCGGTCCCAGGGCAGCGGCGGGTGACACTCACGAACCTGCGAGGTCCCCGGTGCTTGGCTGCTCCCCACCCTCGGGCGGGGCGGGGGTCGCGGGTGGCTTCCCCTGCAGGGAGAGGGAGGGTCAGGGATGTCCCAGCGCCAGCCGGAGCTGCGGTGAGCCAGTCCGTGCCCAGCCCGCAGCACCCCCGCGGGGAACCCCCCCTTTCCCGGGGAGCCGCCGGGCTCGGCAGGCGCTCACCCCGACAGGGCCGGGGGCAGCCGCGTGTCCCTCCCCCGGGCCGGGCTGGCACTGTCCCCGTTATTGTTCGGTGGCAACGACACCACGGGGTGGCGCTTGCGGTACGCGGCACCGGGTGCTTAGCCCGTCCCGGTGCTCTCACCGGCCCGAGGGACCGAGCGCGGAGCCGGTGTCCCCCCGCTGCCCACCTGTGCCGGCCGCCCGCGGCGCGGGGGCTGTGTGCCACCGTGGTTCACCGTCCATGGCCCCAGGGACTGGCTGGCATAGAAGTCCATGGGATAAGGCTGCTGCCACTCGATGTCCTGGAGAGCCACCGCAGCCTGCGGAGAGGACCGGGGATGAGTCCCCGAGCAGTGCCCCCAGAGGGGGAGCTGGGAGAGGTCCCAGCATCCAGCTTGGTGTGCCAAGGAGGGCAAAGCTGGAGGCACTGGGAATCCCACCGGTTTCACAAAAGACTGGATATCCCAGCAGCGTGCATGGACTGTGCACAGAGCACAGATGCAGAAGGAGGGGACACTGTCTGGGTGCAGGGACATCCCCAAGCCTGCTCTGGTGCATCACCCCAAGTCAGGACTGTCCCCCCAAAACAGAAAGGGGTGCTCACCTCATAGGGTGTCAGCAGTGGCTTGCTGAAGGCCTCTCCCCAGTCAATGGAGAGCCGGGGACAGGCTACCTGCACCCACCTGGAAGGGAAATGTCAAGTGGGGATGAGCATTTTGGGAAGAAGAAGGCACAGTGAAGCCCCTCAGCAGAACCCCAGAAGGTCCTTACTGTGCCAGCACCACCCTGGTAAGGACAGCCGTGCCCCTTCCCTGCACAGTGACAGCAGGACAGAAGTGTCAGGGGCAGCTTCAAGTGGGAATTGCACAGGGATGGGGCACCCTGGGGCTGGAGGGGGTCAGCAGCACTCACACATCCACCTCTGGGAAGAGCTTTAACTTGCTGGGGAAGATCTCAGACAGCAGCACCCGCACGTAGGGCCGGCCCAGGGCACGGAGACGTGACTCCAGGTGCTGCGGGGGGAAAAGGCACCTGGCAGGGTTAGGGCCCCCTAGCAAGCCCCCCAAGCCCTGCCCACAGCCCCTTCCTGGCCATCAAACCCTCTGTGGGTCCTTGCTCTGCCCCACGTGTCCCCTTGGCAGTCATAGGCCAGACTGTGGCCATGGCTCCGGCTTGTGCCCAGCTCTCCCCAGCACGTGCCTCAGCCTAATGAAGTAATTACTGCTCAATGACAACAATCTGTTCTCGTTAGCGGCTGCCTGCCCTGGGACACCCGCCTGTCATGGGCTGGCTGCAGCCAGGGCTTGCAGGAGGAGGTGAGGGGCCAGAGATGTCCTTGTCCTCCAGAGCCAGCACTAATCGCCCCCTGCCCAGCCAGCCCCGGCCATGCCCGTGTCCCGCCTGCTGTGGAAGAGCAGCTGCTGGGACCCTGCTGCCCTGCTCTGCCTCAAATCTCACCTGTGGCTACCCCAGCATTTCTGGGAGTGAGGGGCCACCATGCTCAGAGGGCAGAACTCTGCAGTCCTGCTCCCCTCTCCCAGCCGGGGTGCAGAAAGCGCCAGCATGGCAGCTGAGCAGGGATGCTGAACCTGATCGGAAGTTCATCCAATTAAAACAAATCCAGCCAATTAATTGCCGAGCTGTCTGGGGGGGGTGGGGGTGTGGGGGGTGTCTCCAAGACTGGCCAGCTCTCCCCAGGAACGGGTTTAATGAGCCCTTGTCCAGCCCCCCTCATCTGCTGCTAATTGCCCACGCAGACCGGGGCCGTGGCCACGGATGGGCTGCCAGCGGTGCCACATCCACCCTCACCCTGGCAGCAATGGTGCCATCCCTCACCAGTCCTTTCCCCCACCCAACAGCAGCACCTGGTGCCTGGTGGGGACACTGGGGAAGGGGCTGGTACCTGTAGGATGCTGGGGGAACCCTGACGTCCCAGCGTGCCCAGGATGAGTCCCCAGCAGCGGGCAGAGCTGGCGGTGCGGATGGCGTCCTGCCGGGCGCGGTGCATGCGCTCGTGGCTGTAGTGCTCCTCAGAGAACACTTTGCTGTAGGGATCGTACCTGCAAAGCACAGCCAGGCTCACACTGGCTCCATCACCTGCCCTCCTCCCAGTGATGCCTGTCCCTCATTAGCACTAATTGCCTCCCACAGCATCTGTCCTCCTGGCTGATGTAGGACCCAGCCGGCTCGTTAGGGGACAAGGACAGGGATAGGGACGAGTGTCCCACCACAGCACCCCAACACCCACCACAGCCTCAGCTCCGTGCTCGGCTTCACACTCAGCTCCCCCCCATCCTGGCTCATCAATTATGAAGAATTCTTTGATTTGTTGCTTTGTTTGACGAGGAGAATTTTAATCAAATCCCACTCGGGTTTCGGCAGCTTCACCAGCGCCATAAACCTGACGTGCGCCTCCCGTTTGTAACAAACGACCTACTAGGAAATTCAGATTCCTCCAAATGGGCCCAGCCTTTCACTCCTGATATTTCATCTGCTTTCAGCGGCCTCATCATCGCGCTTTATGGCCTCTGCCTGCAGCAGCCGGGCTTTAATGGCTGCACCTCCACGAGCTTTCACAGGTACTTGTCAAAATGTTTATATTCAGCTGGAGTAAATGGCTGGTGTTCATCTCCCCCAAGCATCTCCTCACCCACCCCGTGGCCTCTCACCTGCCCGTGCCTGCTGCTGGAAGCTGCCTGCCCAGCCCTGGGGGGCACAGGGGGACAGATGGGGTGGTCCCCACCATGGGATTGGAGTGGGTGCCTGTACCTGTACGCAGGTATCCCTGGGTTGGCAATCATGATGGACTCCAGGTGGAAGCGCCCGTCGCCCAAATACCTGCCAAGAGGGGAGGGAGAGCTATGGCACTGGGAAACAGCAGCACCCCATCCACATGTCCACTGGTTTCCCAAACTGCAGCATAGTGGAGATGCCAGGAATTCAAGCTTCTGTGCCGGGACCCAGGGGCAGCAGGCACAGCCAGGGCTCCCTGGCATGGCAGGGCTGGAGAGGCAGCCATGCTCAGAGCAAGGAGGGGTGCTCACACCAGCACGGGGTGGCTGGGAGCTGCTCCATCTCAATGGCTGGTTCTAGACGTTGCTGCTTCCATTTCTAATCGGATTTCCAGTCAGCAATTACATTTCAAAGCCTTTCATTCAGCTGCCCTAATGGAGTGAGGGCCTGGAAAATGAATTCAGACGTAAAACTTGACTAGATTTTGCCCTTAATTGGAGAATGACATTTTGGGAGATCAAAGCTAATTTGTCTGCAAAAGTTAGCCCCAGAGACGGTGCAAAGAAGAAAATAATAATGCAGGGAGGACGCAGGTAAGGCCGAGTGCACCTGCGCGGGTTGGAACCGCACTGCCGCTCCTGTGCCAGCTGCAAGGACCCACTCTCACCAATGCAGTGCCAGCCTGGCTGCCCCTGCCCGCTCCTGATGTCCTTGGAGAGACAGAAAGTGGCTCAGGATGAATCCAGAGCTCTCACTGCCCCTGTGTCCAGCAATCTGGAGCCCAGCTCCCCGCATGGCTGTGCTTGGAAAGGCACTGGTGCTGTTGGCTCCCAGCAGCGTGGGCAAGAAGGAGCTCAGCAGGGCCCAAACCCACACCTGGGCTCCCCGGCTCCCCCCAAGGGTGGGGTCCTTGTATTTATTTATTCTGCAGCACACTGTATTCACAGTACATTAAGCATTTCCATTACCTAAAATAATTAGGTGATAGGAAGCGAAGTGCTCCCTCTAATTTGCTGTCCTTAAATAAAATTAATGTTGCTGTGATGTTGGGCCCCGGCCATTTGTCTTTTCCAATTATCCACCCGCCCTTCCATCTATTATCTATTCTGATATACGACTCAATTATTTCCTCCATGCTACAAGCACACGCCACTTAAAGCAGCGTGAGGAGCTGAAGGGGGCCCATCCCAGCCTGTGGATAGCCCTAACCACCCCTTAAAATTGCACAAAACCAGGCAAGGGGTGCAGGAAGGATGGCAAGTCTGGTGCTGAAGGACCCTGGGTACTTACACAATGGCATCTGTGTCCTGAGCGAGCCGGGGTGATGTACAGCCCAGGATCTCTCCTGGAGACAGAGGCTTACACTGGGGCACACACACCTTGTACTGGGAGCGCAGCTCCTGTGCCACTGCCTGTGGGAGACATGGGGTCAGCACGGACAGGCCACGGCACAAAGGTGGCTGAGGACCCTTGGGGACACCCCAACCCTGGCAGTCCCAGCTGTCATGACCCGGTGGAGGGGAACCAGCCCGCTCGGGGTGGCACCAGGAACAGCCCCGCACAGCCCAGGATGCTCAGCGAGGCTCAAGCAACGTATCAATTAAAAGACAAGGGAAAAGGCTTAACGCTTGGATAGCCCCGTGTTTTGATAGACACGGCTCAAGAGGCTCATTCATCTCCTCCCCTCCTGCCCAGCAGGCCGTTCAGGGGCAGACAGAGCTTCCCCGGCCGCTGCCGGCACTGCATCAAAATGCCAAGTGCTCCACCGCCTGCCCTGACATTTCCAGAGCAGCTCCCGGGGGAGCTGGGGAGGGGTGCCGCCATGAAACATTGATCAGAGTTATTATAAAGTACTTGATCAACGTTATGGCAGCACCACATTATTGCAGCGACTCGTCAGAGGGGAACCAGCTCCACCAGCACCCCGGGGCAGCCGCTCCCACCGCGGGGCTGGGACGGGGAAGGGCTGAGCCAGAGGAAAACTCAGGGGGAGACAAAAGCCAGGGATTTCCATCTCACCTGCAAGGTGGAGACAAACTGGATGGTGCTAACCAGGGCCAGGGAGGTGCCTGCTGCAAAGTTGAAGCGAATGGTCTCAAGAAAATGGGATGCATCGATCTTTATGTCCACGAACACATAGAGCATCTTCAGCCCCTGGGTGGAGTCGATGGGAACTGGTGACAGGAAGAGACAGGGTCTGAGTGTGGGGTACACCCGGGGCTCCAGCGAGCCCCAGGCTGTTGCTGCCTGCAGCTGGGGGATGAAGCATGTTGGTGGGGCTCCCTGTGCCCCAAACTGCCCTAGTATAGGCAGGGTGGGCTGTGCCACCCCTCTGCCTGTGCTGGCACCCAGGGCACGGGTGCAGAAGGGAGCCACAGAGAGCTCTCTCCAGATAATGGCAGCCTGGGGAATCAATGAACACAAATCTAATTACCCCTGGTGCTAAGAAGCCTTTGTCACCACGATTAAGTGAATAATTAAAGTACACAGAGTCCACATCGATCCACAGCTCCATGTTCACTTCCCATTTTGGTGCTCTTTGCCTGATCACAATTAAGTGCAAATTACTCCCTCCTGCGGGGCACGTGGAGCTGGGAGGGAGCAGGAAGCATTATGTGCCTCACCACTGGCCACCCTGGTGACAGGACCACTGTGGGCAGCTCAAAAGGAGCCCAACATCCTCACAGCAGCCCATGGGTAACCCAGGGTTCCCTGTGACCCACCCAACTCTGCCCTATGACCCACCCAACCCACACTAGGCAAGGGCAACGAGGCCACGGGCAGCAGCTGGTGACAGTCAGCCTGGCAGTGCCTGCCTGTCCCTGCAGGGAGCAGCTCCAGACGATGTTGCTCCCATTCCCTGGAGCAGCCTGATGGATATGGCCCCTTCCTCCCCTTCCTGCTGTTCATTCATGAGCAGCAGGCTACAAACCAGGAGTTTTATACTCCCTGTTCCAGTGGTGCACATAACCCTCCTTCCTTAACAAAGCACCTAGCACACATATTTATCACCACAAACGCTCACACCGACGTGGCTTTCAGGACAGAGTTCTCAACTGGGGAGTCAGTATTTCACACAGAGCCTGATGCAATTCTTCAAACCCATTTATAGGGCCCCATAAACGTCCAGGAGGGCTGCCAGGTGCTGGGAGCGTGGCAGCAGCAGGGATGCACACACCTCCTACTCACTATGGCAATTCTGCAGATCCACCTTAAAACCCAGAGCGTCTTATTGTTATTTTTGGGCTGATTCCATCCTGGGTGGACTTCAAAGTTAGCAGCATCTGGGACAGCAGCGCAGTTTCCATGGCAACTGGATCCAGAGTACTGTCCGCCTGGGGAGCACACAGCCTCCTCCTCCTCCTCCCTTCCCCGCCCAGCCTGCACTGTACCCACAAAGCTGCCTTTCCTGGCCCCGGGACAAGCGGGACCCCCAGGCCCTTGCTCTCCTCTGCCATCATTCCCTTTGTCACCACTCCGCAGAGGCCAGGTGGGGAGCAGCAGCAGCCTCATCCCCTGGGCCAGCAGGGTCCTGCCAGCCATGGCCTTCCTGCTCTGCTCCCGGGGACACAGCTGGATCCGTGCGCTGCTGCAGCGGCCGAGCAGGATGAGCACAGCCTGCTGCGCCCAAAATCCTGTCCGTGAGCAGCCACCCAGCCAGCCTGGCCCCATCCAAAGCCAGAGAACAGAAAGCCCTTTGGGGCTGGCAGTCTCCGAGCTGGCGTCCAGATGTGCGGAGTTGCTCGGCGTGGCACGGTGGCAGCAGCACAGCCTCCACAGTGCCACCCCAGCAGCACCCCGGGACTCGGTGTCACCTACTTAGGCAACTGTGTCCATAGTGCACCAGGAAGTCAGCGCCCAGGGCCCGGGCCGTGTAGTCATCCACGCAGCAGGCGCCGTAGGTCACGTCACCCATCACCACAGCCTCTGCATCCGTGAATCTGTGGGGAGGCACAGCACTGAGGGTCACAGCCGTGTCACTGCAGCCCAGGTTCTGCCCCCCAGCCCCAGAATGTCACTATGGGGGGACCCCGCGCTGCCACCGAGCCACGCGCCGAAGAGGACAAGCACTGGCTACTCTCCGAGATGTCAACATGATTAAGCTGGAGAGCGGTAATCCGCCTCTTCAATTGGGTAAAGCTGTTTGCAATTCAGCGGATTATCCACTCATCAAACAATACGCTGCCAGATTCCTAATGCTTCAGCGGGGAGAGCAGCAGAGGGAGACCCGGCACAGCGTGGTGCCACCGCTTCCACCAGACAGCCCTGGGGACTGGAGCCACCAGGACGGGCAGAACAGCTGTCCTGGCATCCCTTGTGGTGCCAGCCAAGCCACCATCACCCCATGGCTGGGCATTGTATGAGCTGGTGAATCCAATCTGCACCTGGCTGTGTCAGCCCTGCATGCCAGTTTGGCCAAGCTGGGTGACCTCCAGAAGAGCTGGTGCTTAAGTGGCACTCTGCAAGGGAAAGCACCAAACCACCACTGGTGCTGTCCCCTACACCCAGTGCTCCAGTCCAAGCACCTGCCAGCTTGTGGGTGAAGGGGCACACACCAGCACCAAGCAGCAAAGCCAGGGCTCTGGCATGATTCAGAGGCACCACCTTTGTGGGTATTTATTGCACCATTTTGGGGGATTATTAGCTTGGCTACCTTCCCAGGGAGCTGCCGCAGCAGGATGAGAGCAGGTATTGCAACGACAAAGCCCCGTGCCTGGAGGGGCTGCTTAAACCAGATGCTAATTCCTCATTTAATTGAGGCCTGCTGTAGCTCGGTGCCAGCGGGGTCTCCCCTGCTGCTGGCACCGGGGACCCGGGAAGGAGGGGGCCCTGGCACAGCGTCACCCCCTGCAGCACCCATGGCTGGCTGGGGGCCAGGGTCCCGCGCTCCCCCCGAGCGCCAGGCAGGGAGCGTTACGTCGGCGGCAAGAATAGAAATGGTGGGCAGAGCTGGGCAGATGGCAGAAGGTGGAGAAATGGCGGAGCGTGCTGAATATTAACAGCTCCGGCCCATCCGTCAGCGCCCGGGGAGGGGGACAGGGAGCAGCAATGCTGGAGCGTCCCCAAGGAGGGGGCACAGCCATCCTCACCTCTGAGTCCGGCCTGGGCAGCTCCCACTCCACGAGGGTTGGGGATGCAGCTGGGGAATGTCAGAAGATGGGCAGGATGCTGCCAGCACCCAAATCCCGCGATTCCTCACGGCCAGCGTGGCCTGGATGGGAGGATGGCTCCTCCACTGCCCACGTGGTCACACCGTGGGGCTGGGGGCTGCCAGTGAAGCTTCCAGAAGGCTCTTCCCACCCTTCCGAGCCCCCAGCCCCCTCCTCTAATGAGAGGTGATGAGATGAACGTGAATCAGACTCCACACATCTCAGCAAAAGTGGAAAATTATTCAGCTCCTTAAGATTCAGGATGGGGAGGTCTGACTCAGAGCGGCAGCCAGCGCCGCTTAATTTTTTATAGATTAAAATGTATGCAAATTGGCCCAAACCCCAGAGAAAGTCCCTGGGGGTGAAGAGCAAGAAAGTGAAATAGCAGCAGTGGAAGGAGGAGGGCAGAGGTGCCTGTGGCCCTGCCCGGTGTGTGGGGCTGCAGCTGGGCAGGGAGAGGTGAGGCTGAGCCCTGTGCTGGCCATGGGCAAGATTCCTCCTCCGGCTGCAGGGAGTGGAGTTACAGGTGAGCAAAGAGGCCACGGGATGGTGCCTGATGAGGAGGGAACCTAATGGTGCTGGCAAGGCCAGGAGCCTGGTGGTGCTGCAGGAGGGGCTCCAGGATGGCACACACCAGGATCACCCGCTCCGGCTGGGCTGGACAATCGAGCGGAGCCGTAATCATCTCCAGAGACAAATCAAAGGCAGGCACCAGGGCCTCCCCTTGATGTTTTAATCAGTTCAGTGTCGCCAGAGTCTTTCATCAAACTACAGAGGAAGGAAATGTCAATTAGCAGCCACCTGCCTCCAACACAGGCTAAGGAGCTGCTTGCCAACCAGTCCGGACCAGGACGTGGGCAAGGGGCAGCCAAGGCAGCATCCTTGTCAGTGTTTTGTGTCCCTGGAAGTTGTCACAGCCACGGATAGGTCCCAGCAGCATGCTGGCAGTGGTGACAGGGATGTCCCCACCCAGCGCTGAGATGCTCATTACAGCTGGGAGCTCATGAATATTGAACACGTGGGGAGGTTATTCATCTTTTACGTCCCGCAAACCCCGGCTCATTCTGAAAAACCGCCTGGCCTTAGCATTTTTCTCATCTCCCCCTAATTCATTATCTGCTCCTTTAAACAGATGGTTCCCAAAATCCCATTTATAAAGCGCCATGCTCAGCACTGGCAGGATGTGCCCCAGGGCACGCCAGGTCCCGGCCCCGATCCCAGTTGGGACCCCCAAGCCCTCCCAGCCCTGCTCCCCAGTGCAGGACGGAGGCAGCACCAATCCAGGGACAAGTTTTGGGGCTGAAAACGCTGGGTCAGAGACATGCACACATGGGGCCTGCATGTCTCCAAGCACGGGGTAGCCAGTCCCTGTCACCTGAGCACAGGCACTTGGCTGGAGCAGCCCTGATTTATCCCAGCCCCTCGAAAAATGAATGAGAGCATTTGCTGCTGGCAGGAGCGCGAGGTCCCTTGGCAGTGTGTGAATGATACAGTGCTGGTCCTCAAGCCATGAGGCAGAGCTGCTCTCCCCAGCAGGGACGAGTCCTCAGCCCCTGCGTGTCCACCAGCCCTTGGTGGGGAGGGATTGAGGGGACTGGGCTGAGAGTGGCCAGTCCTGGCACCCCTGCGCTATGGGATGATGGAGCCAGCACTGGGATGCCAGGATGTCTGTGTGAGAGGGACAGTGCAGACTGCCCCTGGTCTCTGAGCCACCTGCCTCACCTCCATGTGGCCTTTCAAATACCCCACAACCACCCCATAATCACCCCACAAACTCCACTCCCAGTGCCGCCCTGTGCCCAAACCCAGCGTGTCCCAGGACACCCGTGGGTGCTGCAGTCCTGGGCTGTGGGGGCCAAGCCCAGCCCTGGCTGAGAACAGTGCACTTAATTAGCAGAGAAGCCCATCACCAAGCCCCATTACCAGACTCCCAACTTCATTAGCACAGGAAGGCTGCACATAATTAAAATAATGAGTCTGCAATTTTATTGCAGTTGGTGCTGGAAGAGCCCGGCTGCAGCTGGGCAAGGATGGAGCCCCACAGAGCTGCTGCAAGTGGGGCATGATGGGGAGAGGTGGGTGTCCCCACAGCCCCCCAGGAGGAACCATCTCCAGCTGGGTCCCCTCCCCTGAGGAGACTTCCCAATTTGTCCTCACTGTAGGTGGCAGGGCAAACACCACCTCTCAAGGGGCATGTCCCAGGGCACCCCAGCTTTGCTGGTCCTGTAGCAGCAAAAAAACCCCCCAAAATAAGGCAAACCAAGGGTCAGTGCACGTTGGCTGTAAAGGCACCATGACCATCCCGTGTCTGGATGGTGACTGTCCCCTCTTCACAACACAGAGCTCTGTGGGATACAAGGAGCTGGCATGGTGCACTGGTGGTGGCACCACACCTGTGCTGGCACATCCCAGCCTTGGGAGGTGACATCCCTATAGATCCCACACATTCCCCCTGGCCCAATCCCCCTGGCGCAGGCACCACCCGGGCAGAAGGTTTTGAACATCTCCAATGAAGTGAGAACTTCATTTCTCTAATGATGCTGTTGTGTGGTTAATGACAGTGATTAAATTCCCCTGCACAGCGTGCACCCGCTGCCAGAGCCTCCAGGTTGTGCTGAAAAGGACGAGGGGAGAAGGGAAGGCAGCGCTGGCCAGCAGAGCCACGGCACTGTGCAGCTGAGGCCAGATCCTGATCTCTGTTAGTGTCCCAGGCTGGCCCTTTGGGACCTCCTGGTGATGCTGCCAGCTTCATCACAGCACTCAGTCCCACACTGCTCGGTGCCACATGGCAGACCTGCCTGGCCAAGGGACCTGGCACCTGCTGGCACTGGGAACCTGCTGGGCACACCAGCCACGGCACTGTGGGGCACGCTATCCATCAGGGCCTCTTTTGTCCTGGCCTTAGTAGGGCACTTCAAGCTCTGCCACAGCTGTTGGGCTGTGCACACAGATGTTTAACTCTTTATTACTCAACCAGGACCTGCTGTCATTCCAAAAAGTCCCTGTCTGCTCCTGAGTCACCAGGATGAGACTAGGATGGTCTGTGCACCTCCAGCACCACCTCTCATGGATCTTCAAAAGCCACTGGGAGTTGGGAGGTGTTTCAAAAGGTGTTTAAAAGCCACTGGGAGTTGGGAACTTGTGGCAGGGCAGCCTCTGCAGGCATCAGGACACCCCTGGGCCCACCTGCCATTGCCCATGGCCGCCACCAAGCCTCAGCTGATTAGCAGGAGCCTCTCACCCCGGCGTGGCACAGGAAGACAGAGGGATTAGCAGCTGCGAAGCCCGACAGCCGACTTTATTAACACGGAATCAAAAGCCCAGCTGAGAGCCCAGCTGATCCATCTGCTCCAGCCCCGGCAGGGAGGGGAGCAGGGGTCCCGCTCCTGGCTGCACAGCCCCCAGCTGCAAGCTGGTGGCGCAGGGGGACACGACTGCCACCTCCCCGGCATGACAGCGGGTGGGCTGGGGGGCTGCCCCTCCCCGAGCTGTGGTCCGAGCTCCCCCCACGCGGCTCTCCACGCTGCCGCCCCCCAGCACGAGCTCCTCTCTGCCGAATTACATCAGCCGTGACAAATGGAGCCAATTTGGAAGGTGCCGCGGGAGTGTCGTGATGTGGCGCCGGCAGCGCGCAGACCCCGGCCCCGACACCGCCCCCCCGCAGCCCGGCGGCTCGCCCCGGCACAGCTTTGACAATGACAAACCTATTAACGGTAATTAACTGGCCTCACACCGGTCAGTGCTCCGAGTGTGCTCTCGGTTTCAAAGGCTCCAGGCTGAGAACCCCACCGGCCTTTCCGGCGGCGGCTGTGATGCTTCGGCTACATCTTCATCCCCGCAGCCCCTCGGGGCTCGGCCAGCGCCAGTGCAATGCTGGGAAGCTCAGACAGGCCCCACCTGGCCTCCCCCCTCCCCTCTTTACTCCACGGAGCTCCCCGGGGGCCTGCTCACTCCCACACGGCAGCGAGGGACGTGCTGACACTGCCGTCCCACTGCACGGGGACAGACAGACGCACAGCGAGCACCGTGTCCCCCTCGAGCCGCCTGTGATGCGGGGGAGTGAGCCACATCCCGCTCTCGGCTCTCCCAGCACCACCAGGCCACGGCACAAACACTCTATTAAAAGGCAGCTCCAGCAGAAGGGATAAATATTCCATCTGAGTGGCAGCTGACACGGCTCCAGTTCAACCAAAATACACAGGGATGGGCACTGTCACCCCAGGGGCACCACCCCGGGCATGGCTCTGCAGCCAGCAGCAGAGAATGCAGGGGAGGGGGAACTCACTCCCCAAACTCCCACCAGCAAGGACAGGGCAGGAGGCTGTGGGGATGGGCTGGGAAAGGGGCTGCTCGCTGAGCAATGCCTCCAGTGGGCACACAGGTATTCCTGTCACGCTCAGCCCTCACATCCTCTCTGTCACCAGGAGGAAGGGGACACCAGCCCAGGGCTGATGGTACCCCAAGCCCCTGTCCCCAGCCTGGTGACAGCAGCCAGAGCAGACAGCTGCAGTGATTCCTGTCACGTTGGAGGCTCATCCGGCCCCAGCACTGGGTGAGGAGGGCCAGCAGGAGCGGGTGGCCGAGCTTCCATTCCACATTAATGCTGGCGATGAATATTAATAGCAGGGAGAGGCAGGAACTAACGAGGCCACCTGCCGATTCACACCTCACCTCCAGCAGTGTGACTGGGTCCCCAGTGTGTCCCCAAGAGAGTGGATACAGGGCTGGGCTCATCCTGCCCACAGCCACTATCCTCTGGCTGGCAGTGCTGGTACCCAGCACAGCCACATCGCCAGCCAGGGTGACAGATGGCTCCCAGTGCTCCCAGTAAGGGGGTGGCAGTGGGGTGTTTCTGGGTACTGCATGGTGGCAGTGAGGGAAGGATACAGCCCTCCTGCTCAGCCTTGAAGCCATCCCACATCCAAACACCATCCCATCAGTGCCCCCACATCCCCTCCCTTGGCTGGGCACCTCCACCCACGCAGCACCCATCTCCCACCAGCACCCCTCACCAGCCCAGCAAGGATGGCAGCACCCCAGAATCCAGCGGCACCCTGGCATTCAGCACCCTGCAATCCACCATCCACCGGGAAGTGGGGCTTAAGGTTTCATTCAGATAAAAGAGCCCCTTAATCCGCTGCCTTTGAAGTCGGAGACATGAAAGCGGCTGGGTGCCAAAGCCGAGAGGAGGCAGCTCCACTTAAAGGGACAAACCCACGCAGAGCTGCCCACGCTCACACCCATCCCCTGCCCCCCTGCCCGCGCCCACCTTCCCACCGAGTGTGGGGCTGCCGTGGGGGAGACAACGGCAGTGTGGGGACAAAGCCTGCGGGCACGGCTGCCTACCCACCCAGCACGGCAGCGGCCTCGGCAAGGCAGCTGCTAATGAGTGCCACGACCCCGATGGCAGACGAGGCACGAAGTGCTATTAGCACTAATTCATTGTGCTAAAACAGAGAGGGGCTGCGGAGGGGGCTGTGGTGGGTGTGGAGGAAGGCAGACGCTCTCAGCAGGAAAGAGATCACGGCCAATTTCTGCAAGGTGCCTGCATCCCCTGTCACTGCACAGCCCAGCTCCTCTCCAGCGCCTCAGCCTCGGCTCTCAAGCAGCACAGAAAAATCAAGAGAGGAGCCATGGAGAAGGGGTCACCCAGCAGGAGCGACCCTTTCCGTGCCATCACCGTGGCCTCGAGCCTCCCCAGCCGCAGCAAGGCTGCCCCTGCACATCTCCGTGGCTGCAGAGGCAGGACGAGGCCGGGGGGAGGAGGCTGGGTCCTTGCCGCAGCGGTGGCCCCGCTGCCGGCCCTCCCCTGGCACCGGGCTGGCGTCAGCCGCTCGTTAACACGGCTGCTCCCCGGCTCCAGCACCCCTGCGGGGCCCCGGCATGCCGAGCCTGTCAGCAGCTCCCGGCACAGCAGAGAGGAGAGGAGAACTGAGCAGCGAGGGCTGGGCTGGCACCGGGGCTGGCAGCAGGTCCCTGTGACCCACCGCAGGGCTGCCCAGCTGTGCCCAGCCAGGTCGTGGCCCCAGCCACAGCACCTCCTTCCTGCCCAGTGGCCAACCCATCCCCAGCAATAGCCCCCATGCCCTGGCCAGCCCCGAGCCCTGCAGGGAAAAGCAGTGCTCTTACCTCTCAATGATGTCAGCGATGGTGCAGGCGAACATGAGGAGCCCTTCTGGCATCTGCAGGGCCACTGGGAAGAGAAACAGCCACGGGGTTAGGAGGGGCTGAAAGGGACATCTTGAAGTGGGGACCAGCTCAAGGTGCAGCCACAAACCATGCTCACCAAACCAGGCAGGTGTTGACCAAAAATCCGGGTGGTTCTGGCAGCTGGGGTGCAGATTGGGCCATTCCTGCCTTGGGCCACCTCCACTCTCCCTGTGCACACACCTCATCCCTCTCTGAACCCGCTGACACCGCTGGTCTCTCCCACTTCTCACAGTAATGACTTCCAGATTTTAATTATGTGCTGTACAGCAAAAGGTACTTTCTTCTGTTTATTTTAAACCTGCTCCTAATAATGTAAACGTGTGCCCCTGGTTCTCCTGGTACAAGAAAGAGTGAATAATCATCCCCTGTTCAGCCTCTCCACATCATTCACAATTCTACATCCCTATCATATCCCCTTTCGTTCACCTCTTTTCCAGCTAAAGGATCTAAACCTATTTAATCTCTCCTTATACAGAAGCTGCTCCAAACCTTTGATCATTCTCACTGCCCTTCTCCACACCTCCCTCGCAGCTTCTCTCTCCATTTCAGGAGGGTGGCCAGCAACAGCCGCAGCATTGTGCCTTGCAGGAATTTATCCAACAACAAATTATGTCTCCTCATTTGCTCCCTCCTCACAGAACAATCAGAACAATCCCTCTCCTCCAAAGGCCAGCAAACTGCCCAGTGCCTGGGGTCCAGCCAGGGGTGGTGGGGAGGAGCAGGGACCATGATGGAGGAGGTAAATGGAGGAGGCCCCATTAATCCTGTTGTTGTTTCACCTCCCAATCCCACTAAGATATCCCAGCTTCCATGCTATCTATCCAAACACTCTCTGCAGATTCCCCTCCAACAAAATCCCCACGCTTCCAGGCCCAACCCACTGGAGCTGTGTAAAGGCCTGGTTCAAATTAGGCTGATTCCCACCCTGTTCCAACCTGCAGGGCCCAAGGAAAGCTGCACGTGCTCTGCCAGCCCTTGCCTGACCTGGCAGGGATCCCCCACTGAGCCCATTTTGGCCCATTTGGGGCTTCCCTCCACCCCAGATCTGCAAACAGCAGATTGGCAGGAGGCAGCTGGGTCGCTCTCCACTTCCACAATACAATGGGGAAAAGGGGTGCTCCCCAGCCCCCCCAAACCCCCCGGCAGGCAGGGCACAGGCAGGGCTGGCTGCAGCCCTGTGGGAGGCTGCGTTCCCCCAGCAACGAGCCCCTGGCTGCTCTCTGCACACGCGGATTCTCAAATCCCAGCACGGCTGGCTGGCTGATGGGCTCCGCTCCCAGCTCTCGGAAGCCTAAATCCCAGCCGCATATTTACATTTAATTAGGAGGTGCCAAGCAGCAAAACACAGCGAGGAAAGGCAGAGCAGCACGGCTGGGCGGCCTCGCCGTGTCCTGATGGGACACGCCCAGCCCTGACTGCCACCCCGCAGCCGGGATGGGCCGGGCAGCCCCGCACCCTCCGGCAGGGCAGCCGGGAGCAGCTCAGCTGCCAGAACATCCCCGTGGCGCCTGCCAGCCCTGCCGGCTCGGTGGCAGCAGGCAGAGCCATTCCCAGGTGGATAGAAAGCATTTCAAATCCGGCTATGCCACACGGCCCCACGAGCAGCCCCTGTGTGCAGGTGAAGTCAGGGTGGGGACGTTGGTGACACCCGGGGGTGAGAGGAGGCTCCGAGCCCTGTGCCCGTAGCTGATCACACACTGCTCAGAGGGATGCACAGGAAAAGCCCTGGCACCACTCCTGAAGCCTCCACAATCATTCCCTGCCCCTCTGGGGGTACACAACCCTCTGAGCAGGGTTCAGAGCAGAGAGCAGCATGGCCCAGCTCCCTGCCAGCCCCACCCGGTGCCCGGTGTTGTGGGGCTCCCCCTTGCCGGCACCAGCAGCGTGTCAGGAAAGCGCAGGGAGAGAGGAGAGAGGCAAGAGGAGCACAGCAGGGACCTGGCCAGCATCCCAGACACATCTCCAGGCTGACAGGTCCACGCAGCTCCACCTGTCCTGTCCAATGTGATTATAATCCAGAGATACAGATCTATTAACCCCCCTGGAGAGGAGCAGAGCTCGCCATCACCGAGCCTAAACACATCGGGGGCACAGCAGCAGCTCAGCCCCAGCCTCCCCTGCCCCACGGGGGGTGCTCAGCAGCACAAACCAGCCCCAAACCCGCTCATGCCCCGGGGCAGCGCTCACCCTTCCTGGCCTGAGCCTGCCGGATGCGCCAGATCGTCTTGGGGATCTCGAAGTTGTAGTTGGGGGGCAGGGCCGCCGCGGCCTCCCGCAGCTCCGCGTTGCCCAGGATCTCCTCGGGGATCTGCTGGGCCACCCGCCGGGCTCGGGCTGCGGGACAAACGGGGGAGCTGAAGGAGCGTCAGAGGCAGCGCAGCCCGCACGCCACGGGCCACCCGCAGCCTGTGCTGTGCTCACACCCCCGGGGACAAGCGGGGAAGAGGGGTGGGGTCCTGCCCTGCAGGCTGGGGGCAGATTGCTAGCGCTTTTTGGGGAACAAAGCGGCTTTTTTTAACCCAGAAAGCACGGCGGTAAGGATGTGGAACGCTATGAGCGCAGCTGGCTGTCCCCACAGCGAGGTGACAGCCCCTCAGGGCTCATCGGCCAGCACCCCGGTGACACCCTAATGCACCCCCGTTTCCCCAACAAGGGGATCCCGTTATCCCACCGGGAAAGAGCCGCCCAGCGCCGGGTGCTCCATCCCCGGGAGCCTCATCCTGAAGCCGCCCCCCGACAGCAGCCGCCCCCCTACATCTCGGCGATGCCAGAGTGCAGCGGGGGAGTGACAGCAGGGGGATTATTCACTATTTCCAGCCCAACACCGGCACTCACGAGCCACCAAACCCTCCCCGCACGGCCCACGGGACAACCGACAAAGGGCCAGCTGGGCCCGGCCGGCGGCGGGGGTGGCCGGGACGGTGGAGGAGCCACCTCCCGCCACCGGCCGGGCCTTCCCCGTCAAGGCAAGCAACACAGCGGCCGGTAGCGGCACCGGGAGCCCCGCGCGGAGCCGGTCCCAGCCCACCTTTGGCGGGCACCGGGGCCGCGCTCCCGGCGCGCACGGGGGCCGCCATGGCTGTGGCGCACGTGGAGGCGGCAGGCAGCACTAAGCGATCCCCGCGCAAGGCCGGAGCAGTCGCCGGCCGAGAGCTCGAGCCCGGGAGCGCACCGGCGGGCCCCGACGGGACGGGCGGCGCGGCGGGGACCGAGCGCTCTCGCCACGGTCCCGGCGGGACACTAGGAGTGCAGTGGGATGTGACAAGCGCTGCGATGGCGCGGCTGCCCGCCCTTCACGTCGGGGACGTGGTCCCGCCGCATCCCTCGCGGTGCTGACAGTTTCAGGGTTAACGGTCCGAACGTTAACACGGGGACGGGGCGGGGGCACCGGGGACTTTGTCACGGTGACGGGTCCGTGTGTGTCCCACCTCAGGCCCCTGCGAAGCATGGGGCAAGGTGAACCCGAGGGTAATGGGGACCCCCTGGAGACAACGGGGATCCCGACGGTGCAGTAAGGACAGCAGCGCTCCCGGTGGAGTAACGGGACCCCCTTGGGGCAGTGGGGACAGCAGCATTCCCGCTGGGATAACGGGACCCGCTGTGGGACAGAGGGAAGGAGGCAAGAGGGACCCTCGAGAGGCAGGAGGGACAGTCCGGGGTCAGCGGGGTCCTCCAGGGGACGACAGAAGACCGAGGAGGCAGCGGGGATCCCCTGAGGAAAGCGGCGGTCCCGGCGGGGCCGTGGGGACAGCTAGGTTCCCGGGGGGATAACGGGACCCGCCGTGGTGCACGGGGGAGGAGGCAGGAGGGACTGTCCGGGGACAGCGGGGACAGCTCGGGGACACCGGGGTGTCGGGACCGCGGCGGAGAGCGCGGGGACAGCAGGAATCGGGAGACAAAGGGGACATCAGCGGCCGGGAGGCAGAGGGGTCAGCAGAGCCCCCGGTGACCCCGGTGGGACGGCAGGGAGCGGGTGGGGCGGAGGGCACCGTAGGGAGCGGCTGGGACCGTGCCGGGGCGGCGGGGACAGCGCGGCCAGCAGAGACCCGCATCGGACGGCGACATCTCGCAGGACACGGCGACACGGCGGGCAGAGGGGACGATAAGGGGCCGAGGGGACGGTCCCCGGGGAGCGGCAGGGTGGGTGCCGGGCAGGCGGGACAGCGGGCACAGCCGTGCCCACGGCAGGCGCGGGGCGGCGCGGCGGAGCCTCGGTGCGATAACGGAGCACCGTGCGAACGACGACGGCAGAGGGGACAACGATGTGCCGGGGGTGACAGTCGGTCCCGGGGGGACCGCAGAGCCTAGGGGGGGCGGAGCTGGGCCATACCCCCCGGTGGGGCGGAGGGAGGGCGGCGGCGCGGGGAACGGGAGCAGCGGCACTTTCACGAACTGTCCACGGGAGGCGGGAGAGGCGGCGGCGGCGGCGGAAGGGGGGGCCCGGGGGGGCTCGCCCAGCCCGGCCCAGCCCAGGCCAGCCCAGCCCTGCCCGCCCCGTCGCTGCCCCGCCCCGCCCTGCCCAGCCCTGCCCGCCGCTGCAGGCAGCGCGGCACCGGCACCGGCACCGGGCACCCCTTTATAGGCTCTGCCCGAGGGGGTGGGGGGCGGCGGCGGCCCCAGCCCCGAGGGGGCGGCTCCCCCCTAAAAGCCGGCGGCGGGACGCGCGGCGGGCAGAGGCGCGGCCGGCGCTCCCCGGTGCTCCGGGGCCGGCGCTCCCCGGTGCCGCTGCGGCTCGGCCCGCCATGCCCCCGCGGGGGCCGCTCGCCCGGGCTCCGGCTCCTCGTTCCCGGTACAGCAGCAGCCGCCGCCGCCGCTACCGCTCGCCGCCGCCGCGCCCGAGGCTCTGAGCGCCGCCGCCGCCGCCGCCGCCGGGAGGCGCCCGCCCCGGCTCCAAGATGCTCCGCCAAGGTGAGCAGCGCACCGGGAGGGCACCGGGTGCCGCGGGCACCGGGGGCAGCGGGGCCGGCCCAGAAGTTTGTCTCCCCGCCGAAGTTGGGGCCGCGCCGCCGGGCGCCCCCCGCCGCACCGTGTTACCGGCGCCGCCACCGAGGCTCGGGCACCCCCCGGGGAGCGGCACCGGCGGGAGCGCAGCGCGGCGGGGAGGCGGGAGACCGGGAGGAGCGAAGGGAGGCAGGGCAGGCGCCGGGTCCCGCAGGACCGGGGACGCGGCGGGTCCCGCGGGCACCGGGGGACGGCGGGGGCCCGAGGCAGCGG